CTGCTGAATTATTGCTGCCCACAGACCCCTGCTTCTTTTTATAGCAATAGCGAAGCAGGGTGAGGCACGATAACACAAATTTCAGAAACCCTGTCTTCTACTACTTCCAACAAAGAGAGCAATGGAGAGAGTACCTGGTGTCGAAGAGCAGAAGTCAGAAGACCAAGTTAACGAAGCTGGTCTAGCTGATGATAATATCACAGTACCATGGCTGAAGTTGGGGCTTGATGCGCCAAAAAGTGAAGAAACCAAGCCTCAAGAGGTGAAACCAGTGGCCACTCCACATAGGACTTTCTCCTGCAACTACTGCATGAGAAAGTTCTTCAGTTCGCAGGCCCTCGGTGGGCACCAGAATGCACACAAGAGGGAGAGGTGTGCAGCAAGAAAGTCACACAGATTTCAGATGATGATGGGCCTTCCTCCATCTGCTTCCTTTCTCCAACCTTTGAGAGTGAACTCCCACTCCATGATTCTGAAGGATCCTGGTGAAAGCGCTGCTGTTGTTGTAGCAAGATTCGACGGAGGCCGAATGAGTGGCTGGATGCCTTTTGCAATTAAAGAACCTGGAGGGTTAGTGTGGCCAGGGAGCTTCACAGCAAGTTCAGAGGAGTCCAAGAAGCAAATAGAGAAAAATATTGACTTGACCCTGCGCTTGTAAGTTGTAATAAGCAGATAGGTCATTACATATAAGCATTTTCTGAGAAGTGTAATCTTTTTCATAATTTCTGTTGGTGAACAAGTATAAAATGCATGGCGAGAATGAAAAGTTTGAATCTGCCCCCACACATGTGCAGCGACTGCACTATCTGCTGTACTGTTACTTGTAGCAGGCTATATGGGTTTGGTTATACTGGTTAAAATTTTAAATAGCTAATTGATTCAATGAAGCCCAAATCTCATGCAGTTGTTGGTTGTACGCTAGACAAGTGAGCAATTGGTGGCTATGTAGCAAACTGATGTACAATTGATGTCTGTCTTTTTTTTTTTTTGGAAAGAACATGGCAGGAGCTCTGCCTTTCGATTGAGAGGAGCAAGAGAGTCCAAAGTTTTTTCCAGTTACAGGTTGCCAGTCACCTCTGGCCAGACCACGGACGGAGCTACGTGGGGGCCAAACTGGGTCCTGGCCCCCCCTTGCTCCGACTGCACTCTACAGGTTTGCATGTTGTTGTATGTATGCAATTAATTTCTGCATCTTTTGTACCATGCTTGCTGTTGCTGATTAGTGGATTACAGCTAACAAGTATATAAATCTATACATTGTTCATTCTTCTTTGACAGGATTTCAATTGTTCATTGCAGTATATATAGATAGAACTTGAAAAAACAAAGATTTTCCACAGAATTCCAATTGTCTGTATTACTATTGGTAAATACTGTAGCAGTGTACCTTTAAATTGGCCCCCCTACACATTCATGCAAGCTCCGTCGCTGGGCCAGACTGAATTGATGTCTGTCTTGGTCTGGCAGAACAGAGTTTCTTCGAGAAACAACAACAAATAACAGTAATGTAGTGGGATGACTTATGGTGGGTGTTTTATGGAGCATATTGAGAGTAAATCGTGAAGATAAAATATAGAGGGCAAACTGAGAAAATACCTATGGAACATTTTTGGATTTTTTACCGTGATCATTCTATAGAGAAACTAATCCTTCTAAATCTAAAAAGAAGGAAGAAAAGGCATGTTTATTAGCTAACTCTGCATCTTTGTGGTAACTAGTTATGAGTCCAGTTCAAATTTATACATTTTGTTTCATTGGTAAACATTGTTTCTCAAGACAAACCATATTAAAGACATTTGCTTCTTTACCAATAGCAAATATTCACATGCTGGAAAGTCTTAGCCAGCGTGGTTCATTGAGACTTCAAAGCAGGTAGTACTTGCAAATACATTGATTGTAATCAAATGATATGACCTAATATTGTTTCATCAAAGTACAGGTATCGCACAGATGTAGGATAAGAGGCTAAGAGCCATGGATTCTTAGCATATAAATGAATCCGTGCAAAGTAATGCGAAAAGAATCTGAAAAGGAGTGGTAACAAATTGACATATCAATGGAAGTATACATGGAAAGAACAAGAACCCATTCTTTTTCAGTTGGAAAGGAAGTGCGTAGCAATAGAATCTTTAGTGAAAGCATAAGAAGGTGAGGCAATGGTGAATACCTGATAAGTGAGATATCATGACCATCACAGCACGATTAAACCAAATTGCAAATAAGAGCACAACAACACAGTGACAAAATCTCCACTGCAGCCCTTCCAAAGATTACATGTAGAGAAACTTTTTGGCTAAGGTGTTGACTGTGGGAACAGAAACCAATTTCATGGAAACACAAGTTACACAGTCCTCTGAGATGCTATCCCCTTAGACATCCACCAGTGCTTATATGATTTTAGACATTACTGAAAGATACTAGTTATGAACACATATAAAAATTTAGCAGATCAGTGTCATGGAATTCAGTACATTCTTCTACCAAACAAAAACTCAATATTGTTATGAATGCAATACTTAGCAAATTGAAGCTATCTTCAACATGTTATGGGCAAACTAAGTATTTCAATTCTCAAGACACTAATCCAAAGGTATTCAGGATTTCAATGCTTTAGCTGTCATCCTGATGCCCTCCTGTAGAATTCAATCAGCATTATTTATTGTGGAATATATCTATTCAAAAGAGGCATATGTGCCAGCATCTTCAAGTTGGAAAAATCTTGGATTTTTCAATCAAACTTCATCATGTGACATCATATCTTCTTCCACCTGTCACTAAAGCATTGCTACAGCAAGGCATCATAGAGACTAGAGAAAGAACAGTATATTGTCAGAACAATATAGTGAACGAACATTCATCTCAATTCATCAATTAGTTCAAAGGACCAAGCATACAAGAAGGGTGATGATATTGAGCTGATTCTACCCTGGCTTCTGGCACAACATTTCCGTATTGTAGTCTGTGTGCGTAGCTAGGGCGGGCCTGGTGCAAGCGGTAGAGTCTTACCGCCTGTGACCGGAAGGTCCCAGGTTCGAGTCACGGTCTCCTCGCATTGCACAGGCGAGGGTAAGGCTTGCCACTGACACCCTTCCCTAGACCCCGCACAGAGCGGGAGCTCTCTGCACTAGGTACGCCCTTTAGTCTGTGTGCGTAGCTCCAGTGCACCAGACTATCAGTGACTGGGCAAGGAGAAGATACAATTCATAAATGTTATGTGCATTACTGAAGTAATCAAAGCTTCATGTTCTCAGAGATTTGCAAGCATATCTGCGAGCTCCTCATCTTTCACTTCAATCTCCTGGTGTTCTCCCACAGCCTCTGCAAGCCGCGCAGCTAACTGGTGTTTACACTGCAAACACCAAAATAATAGCCCAAAATTCAACTACTGTTTCAGCAGCCACGAGCTAAAAGCTGACAAATGCTACTCCATCTAATCTTTCCCAAGGTTTGCACAGATATAATTTTCTTGTTCATGATGCAGTAGCTGCAGTAAGGGTACTTACGCTGAGCTGCTCGCCACGCCCGACGACGTCGTAGAAGAATGAGTAGCAGGTGCAGAGGTGCTCCGGGAAGCATAGGTACTCCTCCTTCCTCTTCGACTCCCCCATCACCTGCAGCACAGACACAGGCAACAATCAGACAGCTTGTTCGCTAGTTTGGCTGGAACAAGAGACATCCGGTGGTATCAGAAGACGAGGAGGGGAGGCGCCTACCAGAAAGAGCGAGCGGCCGCTGGGCGCTCCGGTGACGCGCCTGACGCCGCGCTCGTCGACGATCTTGCAGGCCCGCAGCATGTTCTTTCCGAACAACGTCTCGAGGCTGCGGAGAGCGAGAGCATGTCAAGGGCTCGAGAAATAGCATGCCCGGGGAGAGCGGATACAGCACCGCGTGGACGAGCGGCTTGCCATTACTTACATGGATAGGTGTTCGTCGGATGCCTGGCCAGCGCATTTGATCTCCGCCCAGACGGCGTCGGCGACGGCGAGGGAGACGCTGGTGGCGGCGGACATTGCGCGCGCTAGCTTTTCGACGTTTTGACGCAGAGGAAGGTGGAGGGGGAACGGGGTTTGTTTCGTAGGGAGGCTGACAGGTGGGTCCACGGCCCCATTTGCCTTTTCCCACCCTTTTTTGTGCCTTGTATACGACGAGCCGTATGAATTTTTTGGCAGAAAACGAACGGGAAAAGAAGAAGAAGAAAAAAAAAAACTCATTCCTGCACTGCGCGTGTTCGGAGCTGAAGTCTTCTGAACTCCAGCCATAGAATGATTCACTTGGTTAGTTCAGATTACAGGAAGAACTGAAGAACAGAGATCCACATACATACAAGATATCATCACATAATTTTGAACTCTTGTGAACTGCGCTAACTCCAGATAATTCAGCCAAAGACAGATGATTTCAGGGAATTTATATATACACACCGTGGAAACTGCCGATGGATTTGTGATTACAAGCGCTCGAAATGGCAAACCAGCTAAACCAAAATCAGCTACATTTACTCATATACGCAATTCAATTCTCTGAAGCCTGAACACTAAAGCCACATTCTGCAGCCAGAAAGCATCGGATCAGAGGTACGGTAACTAACAGCAGAAGCTGAAGCAGCACGGATGGCAGGCGGCAGCTGACGCGTCACCGCCGCATCAGCGATTGTGGAGGGGGTCCGACGAGTTGGGCACCCTCCGCTCGCTGCTCGTGACAAGGCCTTCCGTCGCCGGGAACCGCCACCACTTCCTTGCCCGCACGTCGAGCGGCGCGCCGGCCGGCGGCCTCGCGTCGGTGGCATTGGCTCCGTCCGTGCCGGCGGCGGATAGTGCGCCGTCGCCTTCCCCGGCGACCAGCGTCAGCAGGAGGAGAGCCAGGAGGAGGAGAAGCCTTCTTTGACTGCCCATCCCATGCATGGAGGTGGAGCAGGGTAGTAGAGCGGAAGAGTGGACAGTGGGCGAGGACTGGAGCTGAGCGAATCTTCTGCTGTCCTAATGTAACAGAACAACGGGGACATGAGTGATGAGTCAAAGCTGAAGCAAAAGGTTGAAAAGGTCTTTTTGTGCCCTAACAAGGTAGGTGCTGCTGGCACACAATCATTTGCAGTGAGCCTTTTTACTACCACTATGGGAATCAAAAATCTAAATCCTCTTGAACTTTGAAGCATTTGCAGTTGCAGCAGCAATTTAACCGGAGATTATATGCTGCAGCTGAAGGTTTCCCCAGCTCTATCATTCTAAGTAGAGCCCAAATGCACGAAGAGCGCCGGGTACAAATGTAAAGCTACCAGCCTATCAGCTATGCTACGCCAATCTTCAGTTCAGAGACTGAAGAACTATTCAATCTGCACAGACTGAGGCCATTCGGCAGCGTTTCAAATTGGGCGTCGTGCAGGTTTCCTTTTTCTCCTTTCCGAGATGCTTTTAGGTGTGGAGGTTAGTTAGCGTGGAATCGGAGGTTAGCGGCAGATGAGAAAAATGGGAGCAGGTGAAATGGCCCGGGAAACAGGGGACACAACTTTCCACGAGAGAAAGGCCTCGACCTCGAGGCTCCAAAGCCTATGCGCGCTGCGCTTCTTTTCCACGGCATGTCTTGGCTCTAGCGGTCTAGCCGAACGCCGAACCGAAGAGAGCGCGGCCGGTAGCGGCGGCAGAGCGTGGCTGCGTGCACCGCCTCTAGGAGTCTGCACTCAGGTGCGTCGCCGCGGCCGCGCCTCGGCTACTGTCTCCTTTGTCTCCGCGGCTCGTCAGCTGTGCACCCGCGTGCGTGGGACAAAGCTGTGACTTGTTTTTGGGCACGCGAATCTGGATCGTTGAGTCTTGTCACATTGCTTTGCTGAATCTGATGCCCCTTGGGGATAATTCGTTGCTGCGTTAACTTGAGTTGCTTCGAACTTCGATGGAAGTGTTGCGCTACGCTGCAGTGGAGTGGGCGGTGGCTGCACTTGTGTTTGAGTATGAAAAACTCTTTGTGCCTGCTGCCTGCACTTTGCACAGCATAGTTCTGAACTGCTAGGAAGTGTGCTCCGTAGTTCATAGAACATCTCCTCGAAAACGCATATCTATATTTATATCTATATCTATATATACCTAGTAATAAAGAGGCAAAATTTTTCTCCACCTATCTTTTTTTGGTGGAATCATCCGTTAACTAACTTTGTGAATGTCGAAAACCGCATCTAGCCAGCGGCGGATTCAGAAAAAAAATTTAGGGAGGGCTGAACAACACATACTTCCAATTGTTACTCGATCTTAAGTTTCAGCCCCACCTACACTATAGAACTTTGCCTAAAAATTCATGGGGTTCCTTTGCTCCCGAGATGAGTAGGGGCTCGAGCCCCCCGCGTTGGATCCGCCCCTGCCTCTAGCCCTTCTCTTTATATAATTAGGAACCCTAATCCGATTAGATCTCTCCAATTTTTGGTGAATAGGAATCTTAATCCAAATAGAAAAAATATAATAATATGGACAACTAAGAATCTTAATCCAATTAAATCTCTCCAACTCCGAGTAACCGGAATAGGAATCTTAATTCAAATGCAAAAATATAAGAATAGAGATTAGAAATCTAATAAAGAGAAAAGAAGGGTAGATTTTTTTTGTTTAGTTTCTTTTCCGTTCTTTTTTCACTTTTTTCTGGTTTTTCTGTTTTTACTTGCTCCAAGTACATATTGCTTTACGTTCATTTGGACGCTTTTCACTTGGCTTGAAATATGTTCTGATTTGTTTTCGTGGCTATTTTCTAGAGTACATTTCAATTTTTGTCATGACTGTTTTCTACCTGGCTTCAAGTATGCTCAGATTTTTTTCTCGTAGGATGTTTTTGACACTAGCTCGACTTTTCTGATTTTGTTTTCGTTGTTTTCTCCACCTGGTTTTTTGTGTTCTAATAAATACAATAAGAGTAAAAATAAACAATAAATAAGAGATCACAACCATTTTAATCTTTGACTCCTTAAGAAGCAAAGATTTTACCACTAATTTAATTTAATTTTTTAGTCGAACTCATGACTCGTGCTACGACTCACTACGTATTGGATCCTGTTATAACGCATGGGCATGTTTGCTAGTTATAAGATAAAGAAAAAAAAAAGTAGGAACTGTGGTCCGGAAAAATACAAACCAAGCCCAATACACAACTTGGCATCCCCATTACTCAAAATGACAACCCAGCCCAGTGACACAAGGAGGGCCAGAATCGGAGGGGCTTCCAGCCAATAATGAGCCCAGGACAGTAGAAACCCACCAGGCGCGCGTGCGGACCCACGTGCAGTTGCCCACCTGGCCACCCGAGCATCTAGAACAGGAGCCGAACCAAACAAAACCCCGCCTGCAAGTCTCTCGGCAGCCCCAGTGCCCCACACGTCCCCCCACACACACACCACACCGCTCACCCCCGCCGGACTCCACGCCACAGATCTCTACCCTTTTCTCCGTCGTCGTCTCCGAACTCTCCCCGCAGCCGCAGGCCGCAGCCATGGCGGAGGACGCCCCAACGCCGCCGCTGAGGGCAGCCAGCCCGCGCCCCCCGAGGGATCCGCCGACGCCGCCCCGGCGGCTACCGCGGGCGCCAAGGCCGCGGAGGCGCTGCTCCCGTCGCTCAGCATCTGGCCGCCGTCGCAGCGCACGCGCGACGCCGTGGTGCGCCGCCTCGTGCAGACGCTCGCGGCGCCCAGCATCCTCTCCGAGCGCTACGGCGCCGTCCCGGAGCCCGAGGCCGAGCGCGCCGCCGCTGCCGCCGAGGCCGAGGCCTTCGCCGCCGCCTCCAAGTCCGCCGCCGCCGAGTCCCCGGCCTCCGTCGAGGAGGGGATAGAGGTGCTCCAGGCCTACTCCAAGGAGGTCAGCCGTCGCCTCCTCGAGCTCGCCAAGTCCCGGTCCGCCGCTGCTGCGGCGGCGCCTGCCGAGGGAGCGCGAAGGAGGAGCCCGAGGAGGACTCGTCGGCGACTGCTCCAGCCACCGAGGAGGTTGCCGTAAAAGAGGAGTAAGGCGTCGGACCGCGCTTTGATCCACCGACAATTGCTGTTATTTTGGCATTTCGTCGGAATGTTATTCATCGTTTCCCCTGCCTATGTTTACTAGTATATCTATCTATTGTCTATCTATTAGAGAGTGCTTGTGACAAGAGGGACTCATGTTTGTTTCGTGGACATGATGATATAATATTAAGTTATTATATATCAACCGTGCATCCTGCACATTATCCTTCACATTGCATATGTGAAGGATGCTCGCGAGCTAATTTGTTCTGGTTTTCTGGTTGCGAAGTGGGTAATACTAACTGTTGTTTCATCATTAGGGCTTACCCCATCATGGTCTAGGGAGTATCTTGAACTGTGTTACCTCTTGGGCTTGGGAGGGGATCGTTTTCTTGATCAATGAATAACCCATGTATGTTGAACTATATATGTGCATCGATTCTGCATCTGCACAGTTCTAGAGGAATTTTGAAATATGTTAAATCATTTGTAGTAAACTAGACATGCTTGCTGATGGCGCTAGGACTGTACTGTTTGATCTAGGACATAGACAACACTAAGCAGTTGGCATTTTATTCCGAGATATGTTAAATCATTTGTAGGAAATTGGACATGCTTGCTCATAGCATTAGAACTGTACTGTTTGATCTAGGACATAGTTAACACTCAGCAGCTGGCATTTCAATAAAAATACCAAACTGCAAGGACAATGGTTGATAGTCTGAGCAAAGCATACCATATTCAAAGTACTCTTTGCGACACCAACTACATATCTTCAATTATACAGGTGTGACAGCCACCTTTAATTATGTGCAGACTTTAACTTTGATTCTTCATAATTCAGATTTCGGAATGCATATTTACATCTGTATAATTGATAAATTGAAGTTTTGAAGTTAAAAGGCAGTCCTGGTTGGTCACGCGTCACTAGATAAAAACTGCAGGTTGCTGATCCTCCGCAGTTCAGATTTCAGATTGCATATTTATATCTGTATACTTGAAGTTTTGAAGATAAAATGCAGTCCTGTTGGTCATGCGTCGCTAGATGAAAACTGCAGGCTATCGATACCACCTCTTTATTTTATCTTCCGAACATCATTTGTTGCCACCTGTAGAAAAACCTCATGCTCATTCTGAATTATCGATTTGCATCCAGGCATCCAGCAAAATCCATGTCCTCGTACTCATAGCACAAAATGATATATACTTTTATGTTTTTGAAAATATTTCCATGCTGCTATGCAGTTATTGTGAAAAAAAGGGTACTAACTGTACTGGGCCTGATTGATATGTAGCGAAAGTGTAGAATTATCGCTTGCATGTATTAGAGATTTGAGTCAATAAGTTAATCTTTGTTTAGGCTTATCCCTTTTCCTGACATATTGATTTTATAGCCAATAAAGCCGTTATTGCTTATGAAGAAATTCTCCTCTGCCATGCGATTTTCAGCTTGCTATCGCGCATGAATATTGATGTCCAGTCCAGCAACGAGGGTATTTCCTTCTGTTGACCCCTGCACACCTGGTGTTATGTCATATTCACGTTGAGCGATCGGATTATGTTATGGAAGTACAAAAAGGGGAAAAGGAACAGGCATTCCTACAGAAGATCTTTAAAACTAGCGCCAAGAATATTTTTTTCTATAACTAAATTTCCCTCAAACCAGGGCTGTTTTTCTAGAGCTCTGTTTATCCAAGCGGTTCGACTATAGATGTAGGCATTACTGTGTGAAGCGCATTTTTAAAATTGTATTACCAGATAGTACTTGGTGGCTTGATTTTTTTTATAAAAGAATCTTGGTTAAGTTTTGTGCAGAATAGCATGCTAATATGAGGTCGTAGCCAGGTTCTTCCTTGTGCAGAATGACATTCTAATATGAGGTCGTAGCCAGGTTCTTCCTATTTATGGTGTTTCAACTATCAGTTGAAGTGATGAAAGCGGTACAAATATGGCTACAAACTGCAATTAAGAAAGAATAACGTTGTGTTTCCCTGATTGAATTGCAGCATATGGTGAGAGCTCAGTATTTACCAAGCCAACGAACTGGAAGAGTCGAATATCACTATGGCCCTATTTGGATGTCCATGTCCTAAAAAAAAATAAGAATGAGATCCAAACACTTGCTTCTCAAATGAGATCTAGAATCTAACTACTACCCAAAACCTATTAGTTGGAGTTTTTCACTGTGCAAAGACAATAATCCTATGAGAATGAGTTCTAAACATCTTTCATTTTTTGTAATCCAGAATTCAGATTCTATGTTCACTATCTAGAATGCAAATTCTTATTACGAGAATGAGATCAAACATGCCTATATCAGTTTAGCTGGCTATTTGTTGATGTGCAACTATGCAAACATAGTGTTAGGCCACCCCAACACGCCAAGCTGGCTAGTAGCCCCGTCATTCATGTCCGCGCGTGAGGTCCATATCATATCATGTCTACTAGGGCCTTGTTTGGATTCCTAAGTTTTTTCACTCACTCTCTATCATATCAAATCTTTGGACACATGCATAGAATATTAAATGTAGATAAAATAATAACTAATTACATAGTTTAATATTAAATTACGAGACGAATCTTTTAAATTTAGTTAGACCATAATTAGACAATAATTATTAAATACAAACGAAAGTACTACAATGTCAAATATTGATTCCTAACATCTATCTAACAAGGCCTAGAGGTTTTTCGAGCAAGTCAGAGATATCTGCAGAAACTGCAAATGAACAAAAATTTTAGGCACTAGCCCAAGCATGCGATGTGACGGAGTAGCAGACACCCCGTCATGTTTTTTTCGAGGTTGAGAGAGGGGGGGAGAGAGAGAATGAGGAAAGTAGTATCTGACGAACCCAAAGCTGAAAGGTGCAAGTGAAATTTTAAGGGGTGGGCATTCGGGTTACCCGGTCAGTTAATTCGGGTATTAGAAATTGGTATCCGAACCTGAACTATCGGTTACCCGTTTTTTCTTGAGTTTTCTCCGTCTCTTGGATTGAATAGGTCATGCTTGAGTTGAAACGACATGAAACCTTGCTGACATGCCGTGGGCTATGCTTATGCTGAATCAAAGATTTATCATGTTGTACCGGTACAGCCCAACATACCTAGAGATTATGGTCCGAAGCAACATGAAGCGTGAGACGGCTGGGCATGCTAGCATGACACGGTTCAAGTCTCACCTTTAGTGGAAGACAGTGGTTGGAACGTCGTTCAATCAGCCTGTTCGGCTGGGCTGGAGGATTACTACTGGTTGGTTTGGTGTGAGAGAAAAATACTGTTTCGTTTGGAAATTTACGATCGTTTACGAGATCCACCAGCCAACCGAACAGACTGATTATGATGGAGGTGGCTGAGGTGATAGATGCAGATGGTTTACGGGGGTGTTTGGTTCACCTCCTAAACTTTAGTCGCTGTTTCATCGGATGTTTAATGCATATATGGAATATTAAATATAGACTAATTACGCATATATGGAATATTAAATATAGACTAATTACGAAACTGAATACACAGATTGAGATTAATTTACGAGATGAATTTTTTAAGTCTAATTAGTCCATTATTTGATAATGTGGTGCTACAATAAATATGTGCTAATGACGGATTAATTAGGTTTAATAAATTCATCTCACGAATTACTGACGGATTCTATAATTTATTTTTTTATTAGTATCTAAACACCCTATGCAACACCACATGTAATATCCGATAAGACACCTCTTAAACTTTAGTTTATACGTCCAAACACCTAGTCTCGAGCACTGGTGGAGGGTGGCGGATCTGGCAGCAGGGAATGTTGAGCCGCTAGAATTGAAGACGTCCCCCCCCCCCCCCCCTCATTTTTACATTTTGTCTAGAGGTTGGTACAATACTTATATTATTCTAATAAAGCTCTATAATGGCCACCCCTAAATCATGCATATTTTCTTGTTTTCCCCTCTATATTTGTATTTATCCTCAAGCTGGGCGCTAGCAGACTGCGCAATGTTGTGGATCGTTTGATTATCAAGTAATGGTCAAAAATATACCCATTCCCTAAACATAAAGGAACCCCAAGCGAAAGAGGTTATGCACGTGTGCAAAGACAACTGGGCAGGTGCTCTCATCACCGATCCTGATTTTTTTTTATTGACAAATCAAGAACCTCTACGAACCATGTAGCGTTAGATCGGAAGCGGAGACACACGTCCGCCCGCCATGCAAGCTACGTATGCATGGTGCCGCGCTGCATACAGTTTCTAGGTAATTTTTTTCCTAAGAAATGAAAAAAAAATTACGTGGATAGTGTATGCAGCGCAACACCGTGTAGAGCGTAGTGTTTGGCTGACGCGTGTCTCCCTCTTTAGGCTATCTCAACAACACCTTTCAAAATATAAACCCGTTCGTTCTTTGGGTAGCGCTACAGGCAAAAAGTTCAATACATATTCGGCATCTTCTCCAACAACAAGGTTCAAAAAAGAATCATTTATGTAAATAGGTTTCCAGGAGAGATGATGTCCATATTTGGGTTGCACCTATCAGGCAACCCAAAATAGGTCTCCCGTATAGATAATATGTTGGAAGCTGATTTTGAGTCCCTTACTATCTATTTTGGATTTGGGTGCCCATAGACTTCTCGTTGGGAGACAGTCTTATGGCTGCAATTGAATCACGGATCTCCTAGACATTTCCCGCAGTTAATTAAATAACCGATCCTGTTTTTTTTATCGACAAATCAAGAACCGCTACGAACCGTACAGCGTTGATTGGAAGCGGAGACACACGTCCGCCATCCAAGCTACATATGCACGGTGCCGCGCTGCGTACAGTTTCCAGGTAACTTTTTTCCTAAGAAATGGGTCCTCTTCGCCTTGTCCCGCGCTTTTCTTCGGTGCCAAGGCAGGTAGCCAACCAGGCAGCCAGCCAGGCAGCCATCCCGGAGGATTCCAGCAGAGCGCGTGCGGCGTGCGTCATCGCGCGCCACGTATGCACCGCACAAAACATTTTTTTTTCGCTCTCGAGAGAAGCCGGCCGGACGAACCGACCGACCGATCGAAGCTTCGGCGTCCGAGCCGACTAACGCACGCACGCATCTCGATAAAACCCCTTCGGCCAGCGTGGGCCGTGGGGATTTCATTCTCGTCTCACGGGCAGCAGCAGTTCAACTTCATCCGCGCTTCTCGTGTCCCCTGCCCCGCTCCTCGCCACCGCCCAGCCTCTCCTCACCGGCTCACCCTCGTGCGCCTTCGGATCCGCGGTTCTCGGAGAGAGGTGCGCGCGCGCGCGCGTCTGCGTTCCGATGGCGTGCGCTTCGTTTATGGCCACGGCGGCACGGTTTCGCCTAACTCTCCATCTGCTTCCCTTTTCTCTCTGCTGTTGCAGGTGGTGGCTGGTCGCTTGCGGTAGCCGGTACTAGGAGGAGGGTTCGCTGCGGGTGGTCGTCGGCGCGATGGTTTCCTTCGAGATGAACGACCGCAAGAGTAAGCGACTCCTCGCCCACCCGCTCCGGTTCCCTCTCCCTTTCGCTGGCGGTTTGTGAGGCCGTCTGGTGCTGCGTGCGTGTTTGTGAGATGATTCAGGTCGCTTTTGCTTGTACTTTTCGCTTTGCCCGAGAGCTGTTTGGGAGGGGAGATTTGGTCGTGCTCGCTTCGCTTTCTCGCCCGGTTAGTTTGTTGTTCGTGCGGGTGAAGGACCGGCCGCGCTTGCTGCCTCTCGGTTCCGCGCTGTTTTTATGCATGAGTCATTTGGTGGAGATTGGGTGATTGGGATGGTTGCCTCACTTCCAAACCATGATACTTGGTAGTACCGCAGAGTTTGAGGTCCAATTAGCCATGGGTTTGATGTAACTTGTCTTCCTTCAGAGTGAAGAATTCTCACCAAAATTCATTGACGTTCTGCATTGCATTTTATCTGTGTGCGTTCCTGTAGTGTTTAGCATATGCATTCAATACAATGTGCTAGTAGAAAGGTTGCCTCACTATTAAATGAGGAAAGCTGTGCTCTGAATATGAACATTGCCTCCCTGGTCTCTGCAGTCTGCGCGCCTACAGTCCGGTTAGAGTTCAGAAAATGAGTTTACCTCTACGAGTTCTGTCATATATTAATGGGAAGAATTTGCCCATAAAATTGATGTTTTCTCATCTACTAATAATCAATTGTGTCCAGATGTAATCTACTAATAATCAATTGTGTCCATATGTAATCCAGCAATACACAGTATGCTCAGTACATTGGCTTCCTTATTTGACTCTCTGACAACTTATGCAGTTATCTAGATTACTTATGCTGTTATCTGACAGATTAAAAAAATGCTATACTGTTGCTATATAATCATGTTTGTTGGTCAGCCACTGATGAGAGATTGTTAGATGTAGTAGCAACACTATGTTTCGCCACTGTTAAACGAGGAAAACTATGCTCCGAGAATTACAAGGCCTCTCTAGGCACATTTCATACAGTTTGGTTGGTACAGAAAACGAGTTTTGCCTCTACGAATCCGACACACATTTAGATTAAGAATTTCAGTCATGCATGTTGATAGTTGGTCATCCATTGGTGAGCAAATGTCAGATGCGGTTCAGCAACATGGCACATGGTTTCTGTTTCTGGTCACTTGATCAGAAGGTACCATCCATTAATAGAGAAACATGGCTACTGACATAACATATTGAGTAAACTGGCTTTCTTATTGACGCTTGTGACACTTCAGCTCCCTGTGCTGTGCTTATGTTGCAAACTTGCAATGTATAACGCATCAGTTTCTCCCAACTTTTGCTAAACCGTCTATGTCCTCTTTTTGTCAACAGAGATTGGGCTGGGCTTGACTGGATTTGGAGTTCTCTTCTCATTCCTTGGGATCATTATGCTGTTTGACAAGGGATTCCTGGCAATGGGGAATGTAAGAATGATTCATCCTCTTGATTGCTTCTGACTTCAGTCTAGCCTCGTGTTTACTGATAAGCACTGCTGTTTGCCATGTTGTCAGATTCTCTTCGTTTCTGGCGTCTTACTGACCATTGGGCTGAAGCCAACTGTGCAATTCTTCACCAAGCCTAAGAATCACAAGGTCCTGACATTCTCCCTGCAAAACCCAAGCTGTTTCAGTTCCATTTATATTTCTAGCTAACAAATGAGCCTCATAAACTGTGCAGGGTTCACTCTCTTTCGGGTTTGGTTTTTTCCTGGTCCTCATTGGATGGCCTGCCTTAGGCATGATGGTGGAGTCGTATGGCTTCATCACTCTCTTCAGGTTGGTAGTTTCTTTCCTGTTGTTCTTGTATGATCTACTCTCTCCTGGCAGTTGTTTCTCTGTTAGCATCGTGAAATAGAAACATTTGGGCATTGTATCTGACTGCTGCTGAATTTCCTCACAGTGGCTTCTGGCCAACAGCTGCTGTTTACCTGCAAAAGAGCCCCTCCGTCGGTTGGATATTCCACCACCCTCTTGTGACTTCGGTATGATCATCATATAAACTCATAAATTTCTCAGGTATTCTTTGTTCCCCGTGCTTTTGTTCTCAGCGCTGATTCCTCCCTGTTGGAATTGTGCAGCTGATCACTCGGTTCAGAGGAAGACGGGTCCCGGTGTGAGTCGGCGGGCTGCTGGATTAGGATCACCCCCAGGCCTTGCGAAATCGCCTGTACTGTACAGAAGTAGGCCAATTGACATATGCACTTTATTTGTTTCTATTCGTCGATTCTACTATCCGGTTTAAAGAGAGACTAAAAGGAGGTCGTTGTTGCTGGTATTGGATCTTCCTATGCTGCTACCAGTAGTATGTCTCAACATAGCATAACTACATTGGTCTTTCTTTGCAAGAAGGCATCTGTCGGTTGTTAATATGTAGGTAGATGTATCGATGGTGATAACATGGCGCCTCTTCTCTGGATGACGATGACTGAGGAGCTGTGAACTGGTCTGCAAACTGTTGGCCCATGGGATCACCGTCTGACGATAGTGAACTAGTCTCCAGACCACTAGTTTTTCAGACCAGACCACTAGTCTTCCCAGACCACTAGTATTCCAGATCAGACCACTAGTCTTCCCAGACCACTAGTCTCTCAGACCACTAGTCTTCCAGACCAGACCACTAATCTTCCCAGACCACTAGTCTCCCAGACCACTATACCGGTTGTGTCCGTACCCACACACTACGGATCGAGCTAGAAGAAGAAGGGAGAACAGAGCAAGCACGCACAATACAAGACAACAACGTTGGCCGAGGCTCTGTCTGTGTGATGGCGAATCTAAGCTCTCTTTACTGAGTTGCCTTGGTGCCCTATTTATACAACTCTATCTATCTAACTAAAGTACAGCGCACATGCTGTAACAGTAACTAGATAAGCATACAGGGCTGACTCTGCGCCGGCCACTGCATGTGCCTACAGTGCCGCAGATGAGCCATACGGCGCCTGCACCTACAGCGGCTACTGTATTACAGCGGGGGACAAAATCGACGCCACCTTCCTCTACTGTATTTCACATAAGGTGACAGTAGATTAGCTAACAGAAACCAGCCGTCTTGTGAGAAACTGTTGTGCTACACCGCTATTCCTATTTTGTTGATAAACATGACTTCCTGTGAACCTGTGTACGTATGTCCGGTCGAGCGTTAACTTTGCATTCGCAAAAAAGAAGCTCGTTGTGCCAAACCAACAGCCCAGCTGCATATGCGATGACACCAGAACGGTTTCATGGCATGGCCGCTTCGCGTTGCCTGTTCCGGGTTTGGTTCCAGCACGGGTTGCCACGCCACGAGCCCACGACTGGTTGGCGCCCGTAGCTCGGTCTGGTATTCTTATCTGAACAGGTTCGACAGTTCTTCACCTCACCTAGAGGCTAGAGCATGACGGTGTAAAGATGAGTAGATGACATTGCCTGCAAAGAGTCATAGAGAAATTGGCCAGTTGCCCCTAGAACGAAGAATCATAGAGCAAAAGCTTATCACCATTCCCATCATCATTACGCGGTTGAGAGGGTTGAAGCAAATTGAGTATATATTGCCAGTGTCACTTACTTCCAACCGATAAGGGCAGTAACTTACAGGAGCATTGTGCCAAAACAGCTTACATTCGTAAACCTAGGAGAGATCCAAAGCATAAGAACTCACCAAACCCAGTTAAAATCTTAGCTGTTCCATGCCAGTCACTAGGAACGATCTCTAGTTCCATCCATATAATTTGAAGTGTTGTAAGCAGACAACTAAACCCTGGATTTTTTATGGCTTCCTGAACTTCAGCTAAAATGTTTCAGAAACCTGACTTCTCATGTCTAATGAGGGACCCTAATATCAACTATAGTTGGGACTTGGTGCAATTTCATATACAGAAAGCCAACTTCATGGTCGTAAGTATCAGAATTCAGTGAATGATCAAAATCACAATGCAATAAATACATTTACAGAACATTGTCCAGGGTTGTCCATATCAACAACAGTTTCTACATATCTACGACTTACCAAATCATTCAGCTATACAAATATTTAAAGAAGAAACAGACATGAGGTGGTGACTATTGATTGCTTGAGATTGGGTTGCAACCTTTCAGGTTTCAGCATCTAGTTATACATAAACATCAGAACCGTGGAGATCATGCAGCTAAACTACAATTTAGCTAAGTATTGATCCTGCACGCCGACTAGTCTGATTCTCTAACTACCTAATCAGTTTGTTACAACATAGCAACTGAATCTTTCAATAGCTAAAACGATTCGTAGTTCCTGATGATCTTCACTGCTTCATTGGCGCTTCTGATGTCACTCATTAAAGCAATTTGATGCAGCAGTTGTGCTATCCTCTGCATAAGGAAAAGCAAGAATCCAATGAGTTCTGGAATATCAATCATCACGTGAACATTTATTGGTCTAATGCACTTCTATGCTTCCTTAATCTGGATATTGCTAGGTGGTAAACCAGTAACAGGTAAAGATTATAGTCTGTGGAGAATACCAAATAGTTTGGCACGATCACCTCAACCCTTAGGATCCAGCACAACAATTTTTAAGAGTTAAAAAAACAAACATTGGCAAGAATCCACCAAAACTAAATATGATACAGTAGAACTTAAGTCTGCTAATCAGTCGAACACTCAACAATATATGTGTTCTAGAATATGAGAACAATGTCTGTCTTCAAACATTTTGTGAAATAGAATGTGATTTAATTGCAAATTAATTTGAAGGAGAGAAGGAGCTTGATTAAATTTTGTTCAAGGGCTGCTGGTGCTAGAGTTGGAAAAAAGGAAAGCCATTAAATAAACAAGACAAACTCAAGTGGAATTTTGTTTCTCCAACAAAGAATCAAGTGGAATTATTTGAAGGTAGTGAGATATTGGAAGACAGAGGACTGAAGTGTTCAAGGGCTGCTGTTTGGCATTTGCCTCCCTGAACCCAATCTTAACAAGAATATCAGAATATAACCCAACATCAAGAAGAGAACTGAAGTGTCAAAGTGATGGATTGACCATACGTCTAACAGACCAAGTATCAAATTAAGTTATCAGCATTCAATCCCCATTATCTACACATGCCAACTGATATATTAGCAACATTGCTAAGGCATTGTTTTACTCTTGTTTCACAAATCCATAAACATTCCCCCTTAGTTTTGAATTTGATCCAACATTAAAACCTTAATTTTTTTTAGAAGGGACGGCAAAAGCTTTGCCCCAATTTTTATTAGACGGAGAAAATAAGTGATTGTGCATTTCACTAAACATACTGGCCACATGTCAATGCAGATGATGCCATTTACCAACCAAACACCTTTCATATGATCAATTTAACTTCCCCGCAAACCAAATGGTGCAAGATCACACTAATAACATGTTCTGAATTTCACATCCATATTGAACTTCAGATAAACATCTTTGCTTGTTCTAAGCCTAAAGGAAATCAATGGCATCTCTCTGGAAGCCCAATAACCACTAGTTTCCATGTCACCATACTGTTCGTCCCAGTGGATCCTCCATGACAGAAACTAGCTAATTAACTACCAGTAGAATTCGCATACACATCGCTTTGTCATCACGATTAAGTGGCTACAGAGAGATCCAAACCTTATCCTTCTCCTTGGAGAGAAGCACGAGCAGGTCCCGCTCCCTCCTATCCCACCGACGGGCGTACAGAAGCGCCCCCACCACAGCGGCCGCCGCTGCAGCCGACCACACGGCTGGCCTCACCGCCGGGCACCCACATGCGCCGTGGACGAGCACCCGCTCCTGGACGGTCCCGACCCCGGCCGCCCAAGCGCGCCTCGCCGCCAAGCGGCACCTCTCCCACCTCCACCCCCACCCCCACAGCCACTCATCGTCCTCCACACCCTCCTCCTCTTCCTCCGCCTCCTTCGCCGCCGCTGGCAGCAGCGGCACCTCCTCGGGCTCGCCGTCCAGGCCCAGCCCCTCGTGCAGCCGCGGCGGGAAGATGGCGCAGTCATCAAGCCCGCCGTCCACGTGGGCGACTGGTGGGTCAGTGGGGGTGACGACCTCCCAGGCATCGGTGCCGGGGGCGGGCGGCGAAGAGGAGGCCATGGAGGTGAGGGAGGAGGACGAGAGGGAGAGGGTCAGCGTCTTGGGCTTGACGAAGAGCAGGTTCGGGGAGGGCAGGAGGAGCGGGTGTAGCTCGGAGTACGGCGAGGCCGGGGTCAACGACGACGCCACCGAGATCGGTGGGGACTGCGGGTCCAGCGGCGCCGGCGCTAGCCCCTGGTGGCCCATGGCTGCGGGCCTGCGGCCGCGGGCGCTGCTGTAGATTTTCTTAAGCTAATGCTGATGAGACGAGAGAGATGAGAGCTGGGCTCCCATACAAGCACCTAGGCACGTAAACATAGGTGCTAGTGAGTCAAATAGCAAATGTTGTGGAGAGAAATAGAAGAGTAAAACTTTTTAAAGATAAATAAACGATACTATTGTATAATTTGGCTCTTATATCTTATCTTGTACACAAACAACTTGGCTCTTGTATCTTGCTCTCCCTGGAGTTGATTTTTCGCTCGGCAGTTTGGAGGTGGGGTCCTCGCTGATCTGGATTGGAGGGAGGATCCTCCGAGCGTGCCTGTCTGCGAGCTTGCGATTCGGGACTTCTTTCAGTACCTGAGGAGGAGTTGCGTGAATGCTGAGGGCCTGTTTGGTTACTACATTTTTTTTCTATAATAAAATTAAATTGATTCTTTGTAAAATTTATATGTGGTTCTACAAAAATCTTGCGTTCCAAACAGGCCCGAATGGTGTGGTCATGTGGATGTGAAGTGCAGAGACTGAAATGTGATCTTGTTTTATGTGTAGGTTTTAGTATTCCACTTCGATTTTACCTGGAGACTTGGTAAATTAAGTATGGTGTTCTATACATGTGTTCGCTGTTTATTTGTCTTGTTTTCCTTTTTTTAGTTCCATCTATAGAAGACAAACCACCGCATTTGCAGTTTTGCATTAATAAAACAACGATAGAGGTTTTGAGTTCAATACCACGTTCTGGGTGTAGAGATGCACCATTTTTTGGAAAGCAATCTAGCAAGAGCCAGATTATAAATAATTGGCTAACTTGCATGAGTTTTTTTTTTTTTAGAAATTTTGCTACACTATGCATTAGGCTGACGGGTCTCTAACTCCAATAGCATCAGCCTTCTTGGGAATAAAGATGATGTTTGATGTGTTAAGATCAATGATGTCTGGGTTGAAAAGTTGATTAAAGGCCGTTGTGAGATCATCGTCGACAAAAATCCCAACAGTCCCTATTAACCATCATCCCTACTTGCACTGCAAGAATTTTGCTAGACAAGCAGCACAGCAATAGACGTGCAGAAACTTCAAGCTTCGACGAGAGTGGCACAGCAGACTTCACGGCTGCAAACGACGGCGTGCAATGACAGACAGGGCAGAATAGAGTAAGGGCGCGTTTGGATGCAAAAATTTTTAGGTTTTGGCTACTGTAGCACTTTCATTTGTATTTAGCAATTAGTGCCTAATTATAGACTAATTAGATTCGAAAGTTTCGTCTCGCGATTTCTCACCCAACTGTACAATTAGCTTTTTTTCGTCTACATTTAGTACTCCATGTGCCGCAAGATTCAATGTGATAGGCACTGCACAAAAAAATTTGAGAACTAAAGAGGTCCTAACTGCATCCGATCGGTATGCAGGAGTAGCAACACTACCGCGCTACATATGCACATGGTTTTCTGTTGCACTGCGCATGATGACTTGGCAAAGCCTACTACTTGTTCTGCTAAGCCTGAAGATTAGAGTACATCTGCTGATGCGTATATTAACAAAATGGATCAGGAGATCCTAGCATCAGCGAGGTTCTCTTATGGTTTATCCTTAATGAAATCTCCATCCACACAGGGATTAGTTAGCTTCAGAAGAACTGCTGAAGCCAAGGATTGTCAGCCGCATCTTTCTGCAAATCATCTCTCATTTTGGTGACCATCTCCACGATCTTGCTCCTATCCATCTCATCCATAGGCAATGCGGCGAGATCCTCAAGGTAAAGCCGAGCCCGAGCAGCTCCTCTGGTGACGTCATCTGGGCTAAATACCCTCTTGCGCTTTGATCCAACCTGCACAGAACACTCGCTAGCTTAGAAAGAGGTTTGAGTTTCAGCACAGTATGGGTAAGAAAGATACCCTCTGCACCGAAGCTCCCATGAACTGTGCAGCAGATAAAAGTAATTTTTACCATAATTGCATGTATGGCCATAAAAACTCCAAAAATATACTACTGTCAATTTTGTTGTGTTATGAATCCAATATTCATCTTCTTTATGATAAGATCGCTCACATGGGAGGAAGCATATGCATTTTAATTCATATCAGAACCCATAGCATTGAGCTCGAAATTTTTAGCTGCATATACCTCGTCTTTCGAATCATCAGAAAAGGTAGGTGTAGTAGAGAAGTCTTCTAACTCTGCTGCTTTACTTTTTGCAAGGGCAACAACAGCTTCTGGAAAATTGGCAAATTCTGCAACATGGATACCAAAACTTTGGTCGCAAGCACCAGGTTCAACCTACAACACAAACAGGGAAATATTGTAATAGAAGATCTGGAGGCATCATTTGGCAAACCAATAATGCCAACTTGTTTCTGTAACTATAAATGTGGATAAGAATTTCACATCATGACATACCTTGTAAAGCATAGTTAACTTCCGACTTGATGGGTCTATGTGAGCACCCACATGATAATTTGCAATTCCGATATTTGAAACACGTTGGTGCTCATCATCATTTTTATGAGCTAACGCAGTTAATTCGTGGAAATGGGTGGCAAACAAGGTAGGTGCTCGAGTCACTTCCATAAGATGCTCACAGATAGCCCATGCAAGACCTGATAACAAATAATATATCAATCTCAAATGAGAGTTAGAGGTTCAATCTAAAATGAGAATTAAAAGTTCCAGTTGTCTGAAGTCAGTGCATTGCAGCAGGTAACCAAGGTTGTAAAAAGGGGTACTCAATTAGAAATGGTAATTGCTAGTTTCATCCAGTGATGCGTATAATAAGTAGATTTGCATGTTTATAATGACAGCAAAAATGGATAAATGCAACAAACTAAAACTATTTTTGGTTGATTGAAGCATGAGATTGCATGCCGCACCACACGAGGCCCAAATGATGTTGGTGTTCAGTACATGTGTATAGCTAATTTGGTTAACATAATCTGGGATTAACAAAGTTAGCCCACTTGGTCCAACTCTCTTGTATAGACCCAATTAGAATAAAGGTTGTAGATCATGATCGAATAATCCAAAAAATGTCCACAGGTTTGGTATGACAGACAAGTGGAACTTGGCTTTCGGTATGAAGGCAACCATAAGACACCATTCTAGCATTCTGTATTACAGGCAATAGGAGATTTGAGATGCCAATAAATGTGAATGTAGCAAGATTCATGCTATGCATGCAGGTAGTTACCAACGAATGATTACACTAAGAATTGTCAGCATGGTTGCATGCAGCAGGTTGTTAACTGCATCCAAAATCAACAATAGCATGACTAGACATAGAGGGAAGCAAGCAAATACACAAAATACAGTTTTGCCCAAAAACTATTTGTTTCTTTTTATCTATACAGAAGCTCCATTCCATGCAATGCGCCATTAACTGATGATTAACTTCAAATTGCAGCACTGTTACATAACCAAAAAGCATGGTTATTAAGGAGGTAAGGCGAGGCGTGGCGAGTGACTACCGCCTTACGCTTAGGCGACTAAAGCGTGAGGCGAGGCGACGCCTTAGTGCCTTACGAATTTAAGAAAAACTTAAAACAGCAGCTTAGAGCAGTAGATGATGAAGAAAAAAGAAAAGGAAAAAAGAAAGGAGGAGTAAGAAGTGGGCTAGCCCAGCCCACCAGGCGGCCCATGTGCCCCTCCCCCTCCTGGCGTGGCTTATCCCAATCCCCTCCAGCGCTGCTCCTCTCTTGTTCTCCAGTTCTCCGCCACTCGTTCCGCCTCCGCTCGTCTCTCCGCGGTTCCGCTTCCCTCCGCGGCTCCTCCCCTCTCTCTCCGGTGCACTGCTCTGCTCTCCTCCCTCGCTGCTCCCCATCCAGATCTACAGCCGCCGCCATCCCCTTCCAGATCGAGCAGATGGCGGCGAGGAGATGGCGGAATCGAGGGGGCGTCACCATGCGCATAAGGCGACAAGGCGGCGCCTTACCCATAAGGCGAGCCTGGAGCGCCCCGGCGCTTAAGCGTCGCTTAAGCGACGCCTTAATAACACTGCCAAAAAGAAACACCGACGATGTATGCTCCTTTGTTCTAGGTTTTAATTCAAAACAATTTAAAAGGAATACAGAATTTTATTTTCCCAGATCAGGCTGGTGGGTCTGATTAACAGCAGCAACCAGCCAATTACTTCCGGTAAATGGAACATTTATCAGCAAGTGCAAGGGTACAGGGAATTACTTGTTTTTTTGGTCCAAGAGATGTATCTAACCAGGTAAAAAGTGTAATATATGCAATGCTAGTAGAATGAGCTTAGAAGTATGCAAATTTCCAGCTTCAATTCTAATACCAACACTATTTAAAAGTCAATAATTCAATATCGCCTAGAAGTAATACAGATAGTAGTCTATGAACGCTAAAAAGAAACAAAAGGAAAGATGATTAACAAACTTGTAAGAGAAAAAACAAGAAAAGGTATACAGCACTGACCAAATCCATCATACGTGGAAGTTCCACGTCCCAGCTCATCAATAATTATAAGAGACTTATCAGAAGCGCCTTTTAGGATGGATGCTGTTTCAAGCATTTCTTGCATAAAAGTTGATACACCATGAAGCTGCCAAATAAATGTAAACAAAACAGTTTACGACATCATTCTTTGCAGAAGTATATAAATTTAATGCTTGCTTAAAAGTAACAGAAAGTTTCATCTTACTATGAGAAAAGACCCTGCCATCATTATCCGTTAAATTTAAAAAGAAGGGTTTTGTTATTGGATCCTTTGGGCTGTGGGATTAACATGTAATGTGTGTTTTGAACTCTTTCCTCGGCTAATTGAAAGGCAGAGCTCCTGCCATTTTTGTTCAAAAAAAAATGAAAAATTATACACATGAGGAGATACTGGCTTGAACCTCTTCCTAAGGAGCTGTAGAGAGAGGGGTGACCTGTTGTTCTGATCCTTATGTAACTGAGTTTGTATGAGTTGAGTGTGTTGACCACTTGGCCTTGGGGGGGGTGGGGGGTTGAGTCTTGTTTTTGTTGGATTTATCCAGCTTGTGTACTTTGTTAAATAGCCTTGGCTAATATAGCAAATGTGGCATTCATCTGGTTCATGTTCCTTTATCCTGATCATTCGCATCTTTTTTTTTTCTCTCGAACACACGAGGACTGTGCATCATTATATTAAAGGAAGATGAACGCTGCTCGTTTGCATCTTTGATTTGCAAAATTTGTACAAGTATGAGTAGCTAAAGCAAGAGAACACTACACGGTATTTGTTATTGCAACAGAAGTTTAAATAAGAACAAAAGGGCATTTCCAATATAAACTTAAGAACAAAATACTTTGATGATCAAACCAACTTACTTGGCAATCACCAGCACCAACACGAGCAAAAATACAATCCCTCACACTAACACTTGCTTGATCACAAGGTACAAAGGAACCAACTTGCGCCATCAAGACATTTACACCAACCTGATTCCCATATGAAAATTAATTGAGACAAGCTGATAAATGAAGGAATGTAAGCAACAAAAGGTATTATTAGTTGTTTCAAATAATATGTTTGAAAAAATATACTAAATTCAGTAGCCAACGTCCAAGAATTAGAAGATGGAGCTAGAACATGGAGGAACTTCACACAGTATGTTTAACATGTCCAAATGCACTCCAATTGAATCAAACTGGTTTGCTTTCAGTTTTTCCAAACACATTGATCAAGGAGTTACAGAACAATGCTCAAACTCTTTACTGGATTCTTGGGATAACAGACCTCGTTTACCATCAGCTTTTCAAAGAGTATATCAAGAGTCACATATACATGCTCATACAACTGACTTTGTTCCAGCAACATTTTGGGTCCTAACAAAACCCTTCTTTAGCAATCGTGAAGAATCTAATTTCTGGGCAATCCATCTGCTTGTGTGAAGTTCTTGGATCAAATATGTATGTATACAATTACTCAATAAATCACCCCACACTATCTAGAAAACAGAAAAACATATCACGGAAGGCATCGAGTACACAAACTCTCTTTTTTTGTTTTGAAAATACACAAACTCTTTACTATAATACTATTGCATTGTAATGCTTGCATTATGCATATAGGGTGGTAGTGGTGAAATACTTTTTTTTTTCTTGAACACGCAGGAGAGCTGCGTATCATTGTATTAATTGCAGGAGAAAAGAGCCATACATAGACCCGAACACACACACACACACAGACAACTTGTAGTTCAATATATATGGGTATAAGAATGGAACAGCACATAAGATGTGGATCCAAGTGTAGCAATAAATTTACATATTTACACATTTAAGTGCACATATGTTTAAGTATGTATTTTTGTAGTGGAAGTGGAGATGGAGAGCTCTACTAAATTTAGTAAACAACTATAAGTGAAATTTTCCATAACTGAAAATAAATGCTAATTATTCACACTCATATGCATGAGTCATTGATCATACTCCCTCTATAGCAAAATATAAGGAACACACATATTTCAAAACTCAAACTTTGTCGTCTTTGACAAACAATTGGTCTAATCATATGAAAGTTTGTGCTACAAAAGTGGTTGCATTAGGTTTGTATTTAGAAATACTTTCTAATGGTCAAACTTTGGTTGCCACAAATGTTATATTATAAGAGGAATAGTGGTCATATACTCCCTCTGTATGTAAATGTATTATGTTTTGGACATAGGCATGGCCACCTGTGAAACTTTGACCAAAGCTTTTTATACAGATATGACAAAAAAATTATATATATATTATGAAAATTATTTACACAACAAAATTGACAGTGCTTCCGCATTATCAATACAAATAGCTTTACTCAAAATCAGTGGTCCCTAGAGAAGTTTGAATGAACGCATTCTAGGACGTTATATGTTAATAAAGAGAGGTAATACATATAGTACCAGAAAGATCATCTTTCCTATACATAAATCCATGACATTTCAGAAGGTTGTTAGGCTTCACACTGCTTTTCTTTCTTTTCTTTTGATAAGAAATTGCCACCTCCATGTCTTTGGATAAAATGCACATAAATAAATTCCTTGAGTGGTTCATCAAAAAAAATACCATGAAAGTGCAAATCTAACCTGTCTTATAAATGTGGATTTTCCTCCCATGTTTGGCCCAGTGATGATCTGAAACCAACTTTTCCCTCTCACCTATTTAGGGCCATCGAACCGTCACTAACTTCAGTAATTAAGTGCTGCAATTGCAAATATCATATTACAGGGAACTTACAAGAGTGCAATCATTGGGTATAAAGTTAACACCATCTTGTGCCTCTAGACAAGGATGTCTGCTACCTAGTAGAACAATATCTCCTTCATCCTGCAATGTGTTCTCAAGTTTAGAGCCGCGTTCGAAATTTGTCATTTTAAAGGAGTTTTAGGAAGTATTTCTTACCGACGCTGTGATGTCTGGCCTAACATAAGGAACTGGGCAACTAGTTGCTAAGTCAGCAAAACTTTGTAAAACATCCAACTCCGACAGAACTGCAGCAAAGTTTTCAAATACCTACACCAAGAATTGAAGATTTATCCAAATCTGTATAGAGAAAAAAATAAACTATGAAGCTAAGATAATTATCTTAGTGTACCTCTGAGTAGGAGCCTGAAACCCTCACTACATCATCAACCACCTTTTTCTGACAACTTGTGTACTCACCAAACAGTGCCTGGTATTGATCACTTAGCTTTTTCAGCTTAGAACTTGTGAACTTTACACCATCTTTACGAGTTTCTATGATTAAGTAGCTGCCAGTGAGCTTCTTCCTGACTTTCTGCTCCTCTTTCTTTGACATTCTGAACACATGTCCAAGAGGTCCTTTTTCTAGCTTCAGTTGCTTATCAACAGAAAGATCCAGATCACTAGCTGTATCCACGTGCAGATTATTTATGTGATTTTCAACCACAGAAAGCTCATCCTTTAGTACACCCAAGTCAGAAGAATATAGGGGAGATATTCTGTACTCTCCATTCTCCAGCTGATCAAGATCGATAGCTGTCTCGACAAGAGAAGAAAACCGACCAAACCGATCCTCTGTCATCCATTCTTCTAATGGTTCAAGAAACTTTGACCTTATCAATGTGGAAAATTGGCCATTATATTGCTCAAGAATGCCCTTGATGTATGAGATTCTGCTACAGGACTGCAAAACCAATAAGTAAATGGGTTAAAAAATTGTGGTAAAAGGTATGCATCTTAGGAGGTGTTGCCCTTGTTTAAGAAACCTAATTCTACTCTGTTTCCTGTTTCCTCAAATACACAGAAATAAGCATTCCTTGTGATTCAAAATGTAGGTCTAGGACAACAACAGTCTCCATCATAACACTTTGACTGTTACACATTATGAAAGTATTTTCCATGATTATTCCAGTAACATCAACTATGTGTTGTCAATCCATATAGCTTCCCATATATTGATTGGACAAGTTATAAAAAAAATTGACCGACTAGGATTCTAAAGGGACCTACATTTGGAATTCAAGGGAGTGCTACAAAGGTTCAGTGCACTCCTTTCATTAAATGTTACTAGCCTTACACTAGCAGCTAGTAACCAATATTACTGTATATTCAAATACATTTCCAGGCAAATAATTATCTTTGCTAAGTCATTAAAATAAGATAACAGTAGGTTGCAGAAGTAACCTGATAAAGCTTAACAACAGGCTGCAGAGTAGATGATTTCTTTCGGAGAGCATGTGTTAGACGACCAATATCTGATATCCTTTTAAGTTGTTGCCTGAGTCCCTGACGAAGCTCCGGGTCTTCTACAAAAGCCTGAACCATGTCCAATCGGTTATTAATTTCATTAACATCTAATAGAGGTTGTTTCAGCCATCTGTTAAGCAATCTTTTTCCCATCCCAACAGTACAGGTTCTGTTCATCAAACCAAACAAACTGAAGTTCTTGTTTACATCAGTTTTCCTTTCTGCAATGTTTAATGCTCGCACTGCAGCAGAATCAAGTCGCATGTAGCAGTTCAAATTGTACTTCTCAATTGTGTAATTTCCATAGTTAGTATCATCTGCTAGCAACTCAGCATAAGATAAAACAGCTCCAAGGGGACCAAGAGCATAGTCAAACTGAGATAGCAGATCACGTACAGGCTCAACAGAACCCCTGATTATTCTACCAAGATCTTGTGCAAGATCCCTGGATTTGAAGTCAACCTTCTTTTTCTCAGTCAACAGAACATTACAATTACTAATGGCGTCTCGAAGGGGATTCAGATCAATGGATTTTTCACAATCTGCTGGGAGAAGACACTCCTTGCAACCTAATGCAACAAGAGCTGATTCAACATTTGTGAATCGGCTATCTTCGGGGAACTCAGCCAACCCAAGCTTCCTATTGGTCATATCCAAAAAACTAAGCCCTACATACAGCTGACTTTCCCGGCACACTGGAAACAAAGCAACAATGACTGGTGAATCTTGCATGTCATTGTTTGCAAACAGAATGTCTTCAAAACTACCAATATTTCCAGGTGTTCCAGACTTTGCTAACCTCCAATTTGACCCACTTCCCTCATAGAGCTCTAATGTACAGTCAGTCCTTTCCAACAAAATGTTGCGGGCAATGGTCTCAAACATAGCCTTGCTCACACTAACACTTGAGAATCCATTAGAACTGCTACCTAATTGACGCAAGGCAGACATTGTGTGGTAGTATGTCCTTGCAATAAACGTAGCATTCTCGCCATGGGCAGTGTAATAATCCTGAACCACATTTGAGCACTAGTTAGCATGCCATTTTACAGTGGAAGGTTGACACACATAGGAATTAAATTCCCAAAGGAAAAAAAAAAACAGCTAGACTTAACTCTGCCTGGAAGCAGTATCCCTCAACAGTAGTGATTACTATAGTACAAGATAGTTTTGGCATGCATATTCAATGCAGAAAAAGAGTGCCCCATATTAAAATAAGTCTGGAAGAAATGCCATCTTATATCTGCATAAATTTCATGAAATTTCTTTTTTCTAAACATTTATGCCCCCTTCCAAGGAAACAATTTCTCAATTGTCGACCATTTCTTTAAACGCACTTTCAAGCAGGGCACAATCCTATTGGATAAAAATGTGGTCATAGATTATGTAATCCTAAGTACACAGCACTGCTCCCAAATGCCAAACAGTTCCCTAGTTTGCTACCTCATTATTACCAGCTTTAAGTTATTGAGGACTTTGAATTTAACATATAAGCATGACGCCAATATTAGGAATTAAATCCCTAAATTATGGCTGAGAACAGTTCATATGGTACATAGACTGTCAACCAAATTGAGCTAACATCATCATCATCATTTAATGAATCATCTGCAATCTACATGTTCACTTATCAGGCGAAAATAAAAGGCACACGTGTCCATATTTTCTAACAGTAACAACTGTACCAGAGCCATTTCGCCCCCATTTATCTAGTTCATCCAATTGCCCATGATAAAAATAAACAAAAAAAGGTTCACATCTACATGTATTGGAATCACTTACCCTGCGATCGAAGAGACGAACGGCCCGGGGATCCTGCCATACCAAAAAGGAAAAACGAAGGGAAATAAATCGGCCAGCAAAAAGGACTCTCCAAAATAGTAGCCCAAAACTGAGGCCCAGAAAGGTGAAATCGAGGGAGCGCACCTGCGGCAGCTTCTTGAAGAAGGAGATGAAACCCTGCGCTTGCCGCGCATCTGTCCAACCACAAGAAAAAATAAGACAAAAGAGGAATGAGTGACCCGACGGATCTAAAGAAACCAAGGACGGTGTGGCGCGCGCGACCGCACGGACCTAGCTTGAACTCGGGGAGCTTGCCGCCCTCCGGAGTGAAGTCGTCGCCCTCCATCGTCCAGCCGTCCGCCGCCCGGTGTGCAGAGGTTGTGATGGTGGCGGTGGTGATGCGGGGTGCGGGCGATGTGCTCGGCGAAATGCGCACGGGTGGCGGGAAAAGGCGGGGTTTAGGGTTTACAAGCGCGCGCGTGGGGTGGGAGATGGGTCTCCCGCCGTCCCGCGGCGAGAAATGGGGCTTTTGCGCGCGGAGTCTCACGGGTTTAGAGCGCGGAGTCTCACGGGTTTGTCGGGGTCGGGGTCGGGGTCGCGGGATCGCGGCCCCTGCGGGGTATATTCGAGGTTCCCTTTCAAAACATTTAATGTTTTATTTAGTTTCAACAAGAATTAATCTCAGTCTCTCTCTATCTACAGCTAAAAATTAAGGAAGAGAATCGTTCACCGGCACTTTCACCTCGCCTCCCTCTTGAAAAGACCGTCCGGTTTCACCTCGCTTCTCCGCCCGATAGGTGGGGCCCGGCGCTCCTACGCCCGTCCCAGCATCCCCTCGCGACAAAACAAAGAGATATTTGGATTCTTGCCATTATAATTTCTCAAGTTTTGAAGAACGACATTACTATTCTTCTTATTGAAAACTTGCTATTACAACTCTTGATACAACACATCCATGCCCTGATCTACGTCTCCGGCGAAGCTGGGCCCACTGGTAGGCGGCATATTCTCGTATAGGACCGTATTGCCATTCAAGAAGTCGCAAAGAGGCGGAATGACGACAATGGCAATGGCGTGCGCTTCTTTATCCAATTGAATAAGGCTTCAATTGAGAAGGCAGTAGCAAATTGCTGCTGCCTTCTCAATTGAATCTGCCTCTCATTCTGGATAAGACGCCATTTGCTGCCGTCTCCCGCCTCGCCTTGCGACGTGCCTCTTCTCCCACAGACGCCGGCCTGCCTTCGCCGCCTGCCATTGTCGAGGATGAGTGGCAACCAGTTTAGGCCACCGCTTGACGCTCGGCTCACCGACTTAAAGCACGTCGTTGTCCCCACTCGTGGAGTGCCCGGATTGCCATGTCCAGCTCGTGCGGATCATAAGCAAGCAGCGGGCCACTTATGGCCAAAGCTTCATGAAGTGCCCTAACAACATCAAAGTAAGTCAATTTGTGTTCGATTTTGAGTTTTTGGTTGGTGTTCATGCGGCTAGGGTTTCATGGGATGCAGGATGACCCAACAACTTGTGACATCATCATGTCGGAGGCGCAATATGTTGCATACTTACGCAACCCAGAGCAGCTCCCAACTCGGTGGAAGAAGGTGATCCCTCCCAGGTCTGGAGACCGTTAAGGTGGTTCTGTCGAAGGTGGTTCTGTCAATCGCATTGTGGACATGAAGCAAGAAGTGGATGCACTGAACAAGAAAATTGACAGTGCCGTGAAGGACGTGTTGGAACTAAAGTTGCAAGTACAGAGGGTGAAAACGGATTATGTTGTGATAGCGGCATTGTGTGTAGGTGTAGTTTTGGGTTGTATTATGAGCAAGATATGGAACTAGTCAATTGTATGGAAGTAGTCAATTAGGAAGCATTTTGTAGGCAAGAGGGTGAACAGTAATCTATGTATGCTGCCTGCACTATGTGCATAATTCTAAGGAAACTAAAACATCACAAACTGAAAACTAAATTTACTGACAATAGCATTGCTTTACAAAAGCATTCAAGCTTGTTCAAGTTTACAAGCAGCACAGGCCATTAAGGGCACTCAGAAAAAGCATCCAGTTTTCGCTTGTTCAAGTTCACAAGTTTGACAAGCCATTACATAGGTCATCACAGAAGTACTGATTTCACAAGTTTGACAAGCCATTACAAGTTCACAGAAGTGCATAGGCCATCTCAGACAACTAAAAGACATCCAGAAACACTACATAAACCTCCAGGGCATCACCTAGCCAGTGACAAGCCATCACAGGCATTACATTACCAGAGACTATAAAATAAGTTCAAAGGCCATCACAAAAGGCCATCACGGTCTCACTGTCCATCGGAGATGAGGTCCATCGAGCTTCTCACAACCCTTGGTGGAGGAGCAGCAGCATCCTTTTTCTGCTTCTTTTCAATGGTGTTTTTTCTTCTTAGGGGTTTTCTTCTTCTTTGGTGCTTTATTCTTCTTCACCTTCAATGGTCCAACGGTATCATCTTGTGGTTTCTTCCTGTATACACACATATTCCAGTTACGTGCCATGATAAATGAAAAGAATACAAATGGCAGAAGATCAGTGAAATTAATGTTAACCTTTTATTTGTGCTAGCAGTCTCACCATCCTCTCCAACCATTTCAAGCTTGCAAGTCTTGGAGAAGTGGCCAAAATCTCCACACCTTTTACATCTAACTTTCTTTTTGTTAGCCCTTTTCTCTAGGCACCCTTTTTTCCTCACAACCTTTGGTCGACCTGCTGCTCTTCCTAGTAATGGTGGGAAAACCTTGTACCCAAGATCAATTTATGGCCATTGGGATCTGTCTGGCATTGGTTCTACTCTACCTTCATAGGCAGCTCTAGACTTAGCAACAGAGTAATAATCATGCACAAAGTCAGCTATTTGCATACCTCTATTGGACAAGATCCAAGCCAAGGCATGCTTGCATGGCTTGCTAGTTACCTGCCATTTCCTGCATGAACACTTCTGATTCTTAAGATCAGTTGTGTGCCGTTTATGGTTATTCCAGTCATCTAGCAGTGTTACCTCTGCAAATTCATCATCGCTGACTTTAACCTTCACAACTTTCAGATTTTTGCTTATAAGGTTCAAGTCATTCATGACACCAGGAAGGATTCCATTGTGACAGAACCGCCCAATTTATACAAGATCAAGTATGGTTGTCCCCGCTAACACGTTGACACACCCATACTTTCACTCATATAAATCCGGTAGTCCGCCGAGTGTCCCGAAAGACCTCGGTAAATCAACATCACAACCAAGATCGCGTGATTAAGCAAATACACATCACATACATCGGGTTGCAGCGGAAATAATGTTACAAAGGGTTTAACAAATAATAGTACAAATTTGGGTTTCAAAACCGCTTAGTGAAAACAACATAGCTTTCAAATGATTACATTAATATAAGTTCCAAATATATTGCTAGCATAAGTGACATCATCCGACAAAAGCATATAGATGAGAAGTAAATATAGAATCACCGAGCCCACCGGTGGTTAGCCACCATCAGCAACAGGTCGAGAACTTCACCTGCAACAAGGTGGGATAAACCCTGAGTACTCGAATGTACTCAGCCAGACTTACCCGTCGGAAACCAAAACAAATGACACCAAGGATCATGCAAGGCTTTCTTTAGTGGGCTAGCTGACTTGTTTGCGAAAAGCATAAGCTATCATGAAGAAACCATTTTAAATACTTTGCATCATCTTTATTATGACCTATCCATCTAGGTAAGCACCTGTACTATAGCAATCACTTGATTAACCAATAACATCCAGTTACCAATTTAGATTTAGCATATCCCATACCATCCAGATAACCATCATTGTTCCATAATAATTACTACGATGAAGTAACTCGAGTCAAGTGCTCACTATCCAGGAGCGATGGCGATTCAAATCGATTCCTAACCAGCTGGTGATTTATTCCTTACACAAACCTCACTCACCCGCTAAAGTGAGATATTGATCACCGAGTCAACTTTTCAGGTATCTCGAGTTTGCCAGGAACCACATGTACCCGGGGGCTGACCGACTGCACTTTGGTCTTATCATCCCGCCCCCGTGTCCTACCACACCTGCTTCGGCACAGTGCGCTGCGGGCAATCTACTCGGCCCGAAAAATCTCCCAGCTTCGCGGTCGGAAGGTACTTTATCCGGCCAGCTAAATGTAAGGCATGCGTTCAACATGACTCGAGGCCCAACAACGGTCGGTCCTTAATCGACACAGACGGAAACTAACAGCACCCCAGAACCCTGTCTGGTTGCCTCCAACTTTTTCCGTCCGGTCTCCAATTATCCATCACACATGGTTAATTCCAGGATATCATTCTTTCCATAGCTAACTTTTTCCAGTAACCACCTATAATGTAGGTGATCGGATATCTCCGATCGCTACCGGTCTAAGCAAGGCTAAGCAGTTATTAGATCCTGACCTAACAGGGTAAAAAGGTAATAAGGTAGGCAAGGATAGTAATAAATGCATCAACGGTTTCAATCAACTCCTACAACTTAATGCAACAATATATAACTCGTATATAGAAAGAATTGCTTTTATAATTAGGAGACTTATAATGCTCCGGGGCTTGCCTGGGATCTGACACAAGTCAGTTCAGTTAGCTTGCACCCTCCTGGTGACATCATAGGTCCTAACACTTGCTTAGTCCTTCCATCTTCGGGATAGATCCATCAAACATTGTCTTCGGGTTTGGCTCCAACATCACGTCCTTCACGTGGTTCATCTAGCGTACCTAGATGAGATGCAATATGCAAGTGCATAAATATGAAGAATAGTACCATGAGACACATCACAAAATAGCAAGCAAGACAAGCATAGTTTACACTAACACACTTAAGTACTTTGCGATGCTTAACTTAAACATCACACAATCTATCATGCTAAGATGGCAAAGAAGACGACAACACCAATCATGACACAAGTTTCCCCAGATCTCAAGTGCTCTAACTCAGTCATCATTCAAGGCATACGTCACACTTAACAATATACAAGCAAGCACTATAATTGGAATCTGCCAATTTCTGGACATGCAAACAGCAGCTACAAGATTTGGCTATAACTGGAGTTACACAAATCCAAATGACTTGCAAGAAGACATTATGGAAAGCTTATGAAATTTTCTACAATTCATCTTTAATCATCTTAGCATGATTCTCAAGTTAACTAAGTCAAATATACTCATTTACAGAAACTGGTCTACAATTGACAGAAAGCAGTCATTCCTGAAACCCAACTTTAAACAGCTATAACTCTTAAACTACTTGGCCAAATGACACCAAATTTTAATAGAAGCTAGATACATGAATTATCTACAACTTTTGTATAAACAAG